CTTCAGGTTGTTGAGTTATTAGGTCAGATCCCATTTTTATGCTCTCGCGAGTAGGGATTGATGCACTTATTTCAAGATATCTCAGCTTCTGATTGGAGTTTAACGCTCATCTTGGGCATTGAAATGGTCAGAATCATCATATATTAAGTGGGGTAGAGCATGGTTTTAAAGTCTTCAGACTTCAGGTTGTTGAGTTATTAGTTCAGATCCCATTTTTATGCTCTCGCGAGTAGCGATTGATGCACTTATTTCAAGATATCTCAGCTTCTGATTGGAGCTAAGCGTTCATCTTGGGCATTGAAATGGTCAGAATCATCACATTGCGTGAGGTAGAGCATGGTTTTGAAGTCTCTAGACTTCAGGTTGTTGAGTTATTAGGTCAGATCCCATTTTTACGCTCTCGCAAGTAGCGATTGATGCACTTATTTCAAGATATCTCAGCTTCTGATTGGAGTTTAACGCTCATCTTTGGTGTTGAAATGGTCAGAATCATCATATTGAGTTGGGTAGAGCATGGTTTCAAAGTCTTGAGACTTCAGGTTGTTGAGTTATTAGGTCAGATCCCATTTATCCGCTCTCGCAAATAGCGATTGATGCACTTATTTCAAGATATCTCAACTTCTGAGTGGAGCTGTGGAGATAAGCGTTCATCATGGGCATTAAAATAGTAAAAATTATCAAATTAAGTTGCATCGAGCATGGTTTTAAAGTCTTTAGACTTCAGGTTATAAAATTATTAGGTTAAACCCTATTTTTATGCTCTCGTAAGAATGGTCACTGCAATGGTGAAAATATTTATTAAATGAACTGTAACTAATCGCCAGGAATAAGTTGTTTGCCAAGAAATATCAGTAAAATGTCACTAAAACCTCTAGCACTAGGAACATGCTTCACCCCACTTAATATGATCATACTGACCATTTCAATGCCCATGATAAGCACTTAGCTTCAATCAGAAGCTGCGATATCTTGAAATAAGTGCATCAATCACTACTTGCGAGAGCGTAAAAATGGGATTTAACCTAATAATTCAACAACCTGAAGTCTGAAGACTTTGAAACCACGCTCTACCCAACTCAATATGATGATTCTGACCATTTCAATGAACAAGATGAACGCTTAGCTCCAATCAGAAGCTGATATATTTTGAAATAAGTGCATCAATCGCTACTCGCGAGAGCGTAAAAATGGGATCTGAACTAATAATTCAACAACCTGAAGTCTGAAGACTTTGAAACCATGCTCTACCCCACTCAATGTGATGATTCTGACCATTTCAATGCCAAAGATGAGCGTTAAACTCCAATCAGAAGCTGAGATATCTTGAAATAAGTGCATCAATCGCTACTCGCGAGAGCGTAAAAATGGGAACTGATCTAATAACTCAATAACCTTAAGTGTCAAGACTTCAAAAACATGCTTTACCTCACTCAATGTGATGATTCTGACCATTTCAATGCCCAAGATGAACGCTTAGCTCCAATCAGAAGCTGAGATATCTTGAAATAAGTGTGATAATTGTTACTCTCGAGACTCGCTACTCGCGAGAGCATAAAAATGGGATCTGACCTAATAACTCAACAACCTGAAGTCTGAAGACTTTAAAACCATGCTTTACCCCACTCAATATGATGATTCTGACCATTTTAATGTCCAAGATGAGCGCTTAGCTTCAATCAGAAGCGGAGATATCTTGAAATAAGTGTGATAATTGTTACTCTCGAGACTGCTAGTATAGTAAATTCGGATTTTTTGCGATTTCTCAAAAACCAAGTCTCTTAGGCCTTAAGTATCTTCATAGCACTAATATAAACATGCATCTTAGGCACATTTTGGTTCATGGCTGAGGTCTGTATCTCAATCAGAAGCCGAGATAATTTATAGTGGGGGTCGCGATATGGGTGCGGTCAAAAAGGGCGTGATTCCGAGAAATGCCCCACTGGTGAAAAAGTGTACCCGAGTCAATTGTGTTATTTAGGGTCATATAAGTCGAATTACATCGAGAAACTTAGCGAACGTCCCAATGTGAGCAGGACTTTTGCCTGGTCCAGGATTAATTGTATACAATTTAATACAATATAAACCCTACATTTCGCAGCGCTAGTCCTACTCCTAAAATTTTAATGCGGACATTCACATACCTACTCCAGTACTCCCAATTTTATATTTTATTAATTAATGATTAATGTGGCAATTGTAACTGCTCGATTTTGTAGGCCTAATTTCATGTTCATTTTATTCACTGAAATATTTAAAGGACGTAGTTGAGGTTAAGGGTTAAGCATTATCTTTTAAGATAACAACATTATGCGGGGAAAACGCCTTAAAAAGTGACAATTTTTGTGCTGAAAATAAAATTCCAAACAAAAATTATAAAGCATTTTTATTACCTTTTATTTTTTGATCAGCGATTAATTTCGATGTCGGTTTCTTATCTGAGAACTTCCGGCTTAAATTAGTTAAGTTTTTTAGCTTAACTTGGATTCGAGGAAATTTGCTTTTATATAATGCACCGTCGCTCGCATGATAGTTTCAAAATATAATATTAATAACTTTGTTGTCCTGATCCTTTGTTTGAGAAAAATAATCGATACTTAGTGGTTCATTTATTTATTGGCACCCACGTCCCACTATTGTTTCTACCGCTGGCGCTATTGTTTCTATCGGAATCTAGAGACAGCAGTCTTACACAAATAAATGTGCTTAAATCGTACGCCAGCTGATAAACACTGTTTAATTGACAGTGAGATACCAACAGAGATACAAACTTTAAGAACAATAGACCTCCACATTAAACCGTGCCCTCTTCCTGATCCTTTGTTCGAGAAGTTGATTGATACTCTTAAGGGCGTGTTGAGGGCTTGGTAAGGGCGTGAGTGAACACAAACAGTAGATTTATTGGCACCCACCATTGTTTCTACATTTCTTTCGCCTTTGTTGAATGATTGCAGATCGAAGGGGACTTGGGAATTGAGGGACAGTAGTCTTACACAAATAAGTGTGCTTAGAATGTAACATACTTCACATTGCAGCTGCAGATGGACAATGAGATTGACACGCGTTGCAACCCCTTTTAGCGGCCAACATGATTATCAACTTTAAGAACAATAAACTCCCATAAACTATGCTCTGTTGAAGATCAATACTCTCAGTACCAGTTAGGCGTTACCATGCTGTATATCTATATTACATTTGTATTATATGGAACAAGTGTCAAGTGCAGAGTAAGGCGTCATTTTTACGAACAAGGTAAACCGTTTTGGTGACGGGTAAAATTGGGATTTTTTCGGCAAAATTATTAAGAATTTCGAAAAGTTAAAAAATTTAAAAACGAGTTAGTTGGGGCAACCGCAAACTTATAGCTACAAGAACTGGCAACAACAGCCACTTTAGTTTTAATATAAAGACGGCTACTGTTAGCCTGAAACAGATTTACATGACTCAACAACCAAACAGCAGATTGATCGTTGAAACAATACCTCACAAACATTAACGTCTACCAGACCCAGTTAATATTAACGGAAGAACCAACGCAGCTATAAGAAAAATAAAATGTCGGTATTATAACAGCGGTTCTTTAATCTTTTTACTACTTTTACTGCTCCAGGAAGACTAAATACCTTGTTCCGTGCTTGTTGTTAGTAAAGTAGTGGCATCAGATTCCTGCACAATGTCAATGATCTCTCGCGGGTCAACTTTGCCAGCTCCAGTGTCTTAAAAGGTTATGATCAGTTGCTATTGGATAATGGATATCAGGAAAACGCCAGAGGAGTAGGACATATTTTACCTTTACCGTGTACCACTGTACCAGCTGGGCCTCATGAAATACACATAATTTTACAACTCAAACTTTGGCATTTATATAGAATTTACTCTTACATAAAATAAAATTAACTCACAAAAACACACATCTGGGTAGTGGGTACACACTTCACGAGTTACTGTAGTGTAGACCAATCACTTCTCTCCTATAGGAACGATTTTGCAAGCACTACATCAGATAAATTTAGCAGAGACGGACTAATGGATCACTGATTGCCAGTAATGGCTTAACAGGGTTGTAGATGAGTACTGATATTGTTCTGTTTTTTCCTAATTACTCATTAGAAAAAAGCTTTAAGTAGTTCGGTATTTTTTACCAAAATCCAAGATTGGGTAGATAAGAATGGAATACGGCGACAAGTGTCTCCTTTTTCAAACAAAAAGAAATGATATTAATTCAAATTACGGCCGTTCTTATATGTTATATGCAAAATGATACCGAGAATAAAATCGGTCGCTAGCTTTTCTCATTGGTTATTTTTAATTCCTGCCATCTTTAATAATGAATTTGCATATTTTGAACTAAAAATAAACCTGCTAAACGATTTTTGATGAGTCTTACTCTTAACAGAAAAAGTAAAAATTGGTGAGGGGGCTATAAATGTGCATGGTCGTGCTTGCCAGCTCTGCGATTAGCAGTTAGCTTTACTAAGTACATGTTCTAATTTATCTAAAACGGGTAAAATAAATGTTTTTTGGTTCGACTTCAATTTGAACTATATCTACGCAGGATCTGTTCTTTCGCTTTGGATTGTAAAAGAAATGAATAAAGATTAAATAAGTAAAACGAGTTTCTTTCCTGTTTTAAAATTTTAAAAAAGATTTGCGATTTATTTAAAGTTATATCACAAAAATCAAATATTGTCACCCAATTTCAAAATTAAATACTCTCCAATATGTAGCTTTTTTACAGTTTACACTGTTTAGACCCTTAAGAAGAGGAATATAAATAATAATTAAACCACAACTCAACACGATTCGCGTAGAACAAAACATTAAACAAACATCTAAAATACAACGATATTGGTATCATTAACACTAACTCTGGAAATTAATCATCATTAAATTAAAACTTTAAAAGCCATTTACGGTAATGGATCTGTATAACCTCCGAAAAATTCAATTAAACATCGACAAATTAAAAAAATTTCGCTGCATACATATCATACAAACTAAAACTACACTTTAAACAACTAATGTAACCTCCGTATATCTCACAAGACGGCTGTTCGTTTAAATCCTGCTGTTACAACCATGACGTCACAGGGCTCAATTTTGATATCAAAGGCAAAATTTTGATATCAAAATGCTAAAATTTGATACTAAAAGGCTACATTTGATCATAATCAGGACTAAATTATGGTCTGATTCATTTTCGCAGTATCGCGTTCATCGAAGTGGAACTCAAATTGTGAGCAACCTAGTATGTAATTATAATATTTAGCCAGAGTTGCTTCATTTTTGGTCACGTGATCATGGCGTCTAGCACATCAATTTTAGTTTTAGCCAGAAGAAAATGGAGCTCAATCTTAGGTTTAACCAGCCATAAGCGATGTTGAATTCAAAAATAAATCATCCGACCTCTCTTACTTAATCCAAATTAACAGAAATCCACTGTTTCAAATACCTATTGATTGTTCAAATTAAACTAGTGGGACCAATATCGTGAGACTGTAGCTGACGTCACAGGAATGACGTCACAGGAATGACGTAATCAAGTGACAGGCTGATGCAGTGTCCCACCGAGATTGATGATGGTATCCATGTATTTAAATTGGTCGAATTAGAAACTATGAAGCCCCTCGCTCGAATAGTAGAATAGTTCAACGAAAATTCTCTGAGCCTCCTATTAATAAACTTTAAAATATAGTAGCTTCGTTGTCTCCCTTTGTTTCAAAATTTCTCTGAGTGAGCATTAACAGATCAGGTAGATTTATTGGCACCGCTATTGTTTCTATCATTGTCGAATAACAGCAGAGTGCAGATCAAAGGAGACTTCAGGAATCTAGAGACAGTAGTCTAACACAAATAAATGTGCTCAAGACGTACTCCACGCCAGCTGATGAACAAACACTGTTTAATTGACAATGAGATACCAACAGAGATATCAACTTTAAGAACAATAGACTTCCATAATCCATTATGATAAACCGTGCCCTCTTGATTATTAATCCCCTTAGCACCAGTTAACATGCTGACTTACACAAATAGATGTGCTCGAAATATTATTGACGCCAGCTAATTGACGAACAATGATCTGCAAAATTCCTGAAATGCCAATATGACACATGTCAACTTTAAAAACAATACGCTTCCTTAGACTGTACTACCCTTTTGAAGATCAATCCCTTCATTGCCAGTATTTTTTGTTAACGTTTTCGTTTAAATTGTATATGTGACTTGAATTGAAAATCATAAATTATACACTTTTCAATAACCTTTTCGATTTATCAAGTTCTAAAGGTTTTTACTTCTCTGGTGGTTTTTAGTCGTGTACAATTCGTATTACTATTAATTGGTTCTTAAATTTCTGAGCTATCCAATTTCTCACGAGGCCTCAAGCTGAAATTTTAATAACTTAATGACGCATATTATATTTTTAGATATGTCCTTAAGTGGTCTGGCAGCCGGCCATTCAGCCTCATTCTCTGTCTGAACCATGTGCAATATCATACTTGTAACAGCCGCAATTCATTAAATAATCTTAGTCTCTTCTGAAAACATGTCATTGACATTAAACATTTACAAACGGTCCACTTTATTTCAGGAGTTGAGCTACCCTGGCTAAAATAGTCCACTTAACGTCAGAATACCCGGGCCAAAAGGGCTTCATCTGAGGTAGCAAAGTAACAAGATCACCAGTATTGTGGGGTACAGATCATAGACACTTTCAGAACAGGAACTCTTTCTCAAAATCCACCTGATCCGTTAACCCTGACGAGGGCAGCGAAGAGTCAGTAAGTGGAGGTCCTGGATCTGAGAAAGGTTTATCTCCGGCAAAACCGCTTGGTAAGATCCGCACGCTCACATCCGAACTTCCCCAGTCCTGAGAAAAAATTGCGGTCAGATCCTGAGTTTTATCAAAGTTGGAGGAAATAGAGGGAATTGTGAGGTTGAAACTCCTAAAATCAGAACAACAGCAGTGTTAAAAAGCATTAGTTGCCAGTTGGCGTATAACCCGTAGACGCTAGACATGTGTTAAAAGATTAGACTGGTGAAGATGTTAGTCTGTTACCTTTCTGTTGCAGTTCACGAGGTGCTGGTAATCTCTGCCCATGTTACGAACACAGCTCTGTTTCGGTATCAGAACTGGACCTCCAGCTATCCCTCCACCAACTCCGCTGTTTACACCGCCCAGAAACACTGGAGAGGTGTTCCGTTAGAATATTTTACTGGACTTTGCGTACACCAAAAAAAGGACGATGAAAAGCTGCAGTTTTGTTAGATCATCATGATTTATGATAGACTAATATTAGTTATAATATCGCTACAGTCTACAATTAGACATCACAGAGGTAAAACAAATACATAAAACAGTCGTTATAGGGGACGTAAACAAAGAAGCAGACGTATCACGTAAGACGGCTAGCTGATGAGGAGCACTTGCAACTTAGTGTGGCCCACTAGGGAGGCAGTGTAAAACCTTGTAAACTTACTTGTCTCATCAAAGAACTGGTCTGCTGCTTTATGCTCGTTATTAAGGAATGTGTCCAGCATCACCTGAGTGGTTAATATATTCATTAGAGTTTATGACAACCACACGATCAGAGTCTTGATGAGTCAACCGTGTATTTATCAAAATCAATACTATCGATAGTATAGCCATAGGACCGAGAGCAAAGTTGAGAAAAAACATGCTGAGCAAAAAATAGATTTGGCTTCAGAACATACCTTCTCTAACAGATGATTATCAGACCCTAAATCAGGCATTCCTTTGGTCTGTTTTTTGTTCGAACTAGGCTGCTTATTAACCTTTCTCGTCCGTTTCCCCGACCTCACAATGCCCCTCCCGGAGATCTCTTTGGTGTCTAAGCACGGAGTTGGTTCTGTCAGTTTCAACCCCCCAGATGTACCAGGTGTGCCCCTTAGGTAGGTTGCCTGCTCGAACCGAGCCTTCATTTCCATCAAGGAACTGGCAGCATCATTAGAAAAGTCGAAGTGGGAAAGCCTTGTAGAAGCCGTCTGTGGGTTCTGCATTGGAATATTTGGCATATGAGATAACGAGGCCGGCTGAATGGTTTGGATAGGAAATCTGCTTGAATTATCCTGAATTATCGATATTGGATTTCTGGATAGAGACTCCTGTAGGTTTGATATTTGAATTGGAGTAGAGACATTCTGGATGGTTTGGATAGAGAGTGGGATATCCTGGCTACTGGATATTGAAGGCAAGGCTAATGAATCCTGGGTATATTGTACTTCTTTAACGGGGGTCGTGTTTGGGGTGGGTAGGATCGGTTTCTGATCCTCTAGACTTTCCACTTTGGTTCTAATCTCCGAATCTAAAGACTCTTCAAGTGTCTGATCTAGTAAATCATCTAGACTGTGATCATTAAGTTTGGAGCCCAGAAAAAGTTCGAATTCTGACGAAATGTCTAGCTCCATCGCGTTGTCAAGGTTACAAGGTGGTGTCTCGGGGTCCATCATAGTTGTCATCACTCCTGTCGAGAATATGTCGTCTGTAAAGTCTGGAATCTCTGGAAGAAGCAGCTCAGGTTCAGTTTCCTGTTTTAGGACCTGAAATATGATTAATATTTAATATGAATCACGTTGCAATAATAAAATCGAATAGAGCAATTATAATTTCTAAATCTGTGATACATTTTTTTACAGTAAAATTCAATATTTGAAGATGAATGGTATTACAGTAACACAGAGTGAGTTAAAATGATTGCCGTGGTTGATTTAAGCATTATAAAAACTATCCGCGTTAGTACCTGAATAATGTCAAGTATAATTGCTCATTTTATTCAGATTCTAACAGGAAAGGTGGCCTAAAATTCTTTTCAGTTTTCTCTATAGGATAACCGCAAGCTAAACCATCATTAGAGTAAGCATATGAATGTGGATCGGCCACAAACTTGCCTTCGTAGGTACACGGATTGCACGATGGCCGATGTCAAATTGTTAAAATCAAATATTTCATTATTTTCAGCGATAGATCGGGAAAAATGAGGTGATGAAATTAGTGGTGAGCACACCAACACCTTGGGGCACCGAGTACAGACGACAGTCTTTGACGAGACGTCATTGCAGGCCCACCCTGTTCTTAATTCTATCATCAGTATAATGTTCTCACCGATACTTAGTAACATAATAGCATACAAATGAAATAATTTGATCAAGGCAATTCACCATGATCAGCTTACAGTTTTTCATTTAAAAGTTCTGGAAACTGTACGTGTTATGCGTACGTGTTGTGTGGCATATTGAATATTCTTGGCGAGCACATTATAGCATTATGTAGCAATTATGCTGTAAAGATAAAATATGTCATATTTTCGATCACGGCACAAGCCTGGTTAGCTCAGTCGGTAGAGCATCAGACTTTTAATCTGAGGGTCACGGGTTCGAGTCCCGTATCAGGCTGCTTGACTTTTGAAAAATTTAGGGAACCATCAATCATTAATGATAAACGCCAGACGGACCTCAAAACTCAACAGTTTAAGATTTTTAACTATCTTATTTCACTTCGATCATTTTATTTTTAGCTGCCAATCACAAAAAACTATATTATGATGATCATATTTGAAACACAAGCTAATGTTTTTCATTTAATTGATAGCAATTGGACTAATGAATTGTGTTGGATCGTTGAAACTAATGTACTTATTACTCAAACATGGATCCACAGCTGACAAGTCACACGTCTACATCACTCCGAAGCGAAGTAAAACACTTTTGCAAGACGGGAAAAGTCCTTAAATCGGGATTTTGCTGTGTTTTTGTTATAAAGATAATTCCTGGTTATTGAAATTAACTATAAAAAGCTTCACTAATATCTTACCGAGGTAGGATTGGAAGTAGGAGGGGTGAGATTGAGAGCACTGTTGAGGAGTGTAGGTGATAACACCTGTCCAACACGGTTCAGCTCATCATGGTCACTACTACACGTGGTCACAGGGGCAGGTGTTGCCATGGTGAGAGAAGCGGGTGTCGCTACAGGAGCACTCGTCATCACCGGCCCGGTGGTGTAGACAGGAGAGCCGGTGACGACCTGGCCACAGCTGGTGAACGGGCCACAGTTTGCCATCGTTATTGGGCCACAGCCGGGTATAATACTGCATCCGGGGAGGGAGGTTGCTTTGTACCTAGCACAAGAAATCCCAGTAAGCGAAAGAGTTCAAATCACAAGACAAAAACTTAACCAAAGTTTGTTGCAAATAAATGCAATTATACTACTGTTCACTAATTAGTGCTCTCAATTTCATCTTAATCTAATCCAGAAATAACAGTTTGTAACAAATACAATTGAAATTTGAGCCAGTATAATTATCAAAAAACAATGACCGGACCACATGGCATCTTACGATTAATTACAGCATTTCTTACCCATTAAGATTGGGGACACAAGTATTGGCACCCATTCCGGGATGAAGACTGCTGGGTAAGGTCAGCCTGTTACCAGGGTTACCAGGATTACCAGGGTTACCAGGTAAGATCAGCCTGTCTGGTCTGGCGGCACTGTACACATCGTAGGAAGGAGCCTGCAAAGAACATTAACGAATAACACAGGTGTAATGTACACTCTAAGGCTAAGCCCTAAGTGCAGCTGTGGCAGCGCCCTCATGGGGACTACAGCGCGCTGAGTGGCTCACAACATTATTGTGTAAACTAGAGCATAGAGGAAAAACGCCGCATCATCAGAAAACTTGCCTGTCTCAGTGCGGGGTGAACTGTACGTTGTTTTATAGTTTCAGCAAATGAGTACAGTTTCCATTAGGGTTAATTAGGGTTGACAAGTTGACAAATGGTTATCACTGCACTATCATACTCATAAAATGAACAGAAATTAATGGGGGAAATAGAGCCACCATATAGTTGACCAGTGGTGAAACTGATAGTTGAACTGTGATGACGTCAATGAAAAGTGACTGAAGGATCTCATCGCTCTATTATGTTAGTTTTATTTTGTGGAGCTTGCCCTGTGCCCTGTGGAGCCCGATGAACCAACGACCTGATCGTTCGCGTTCTAAAGTTTCTGCGTTTCTCTATAAATGACTGGACTATTATGTATAGTGTAAGGGTGAGCTAACGACCTCATGTCATAGTTCTATAAAACTATATATGCTATAGCTGGTTCCACTATGAGCTGGTCCCAAGTCCAGACGCCATTTTATTCTTTGTAATTTTCAATAACCCTGTCTAGTCATTGACTACTGATATGTGGATTGTGTAATGTGTATGTGGTTTACTACTAATAGTTCAGTATCCGAGTAGTAGCGGGTATCCGAGTAGTAGCGGGTATCCGAGTAGTATCGGGTATCCGAGTAGTAGCGGGTATCCGAGTAGTATCGGGTATCCGAGTAGTAGCGGGTATCCGAGTAGTAGCGGGTATCCGAGTAGTAGCGGGTATCCGAGTAGTAGCGGGTATCCGAGTAGTAGCGGGTATCCGAGTAGTAGCGGGTATCCGAGTAGTAGCGGGTATCCGAGTAGTAGCGGGTATCCGAGTAGTAGCGGGTATCCGAGTAGTAGCGGGTATCCGAGTAGTAGCGGGTATCCGAGTAGTAGCGGTATCCGAGTAGTAGCGGGTATCCGAGTAGTAGCGGGTATTCGAGTAGTAGCGGGTATCCGAGTAGTAGCGGGTATCCGAGTAGTAGCGGGTATCCGAGTAGTATCGGGTATCCGAGTAGTATCGGGTATCCGAGTAGTAGCGGGTATCCGAGTAGTAGCGGGTATCCGAGTAGTAGCGGGTATCCGAGTAGTAGCGGGTATCCGAGTAGTAGCGGGTATCCGAGTAGTAGCGGGTATTCGATTTCACCCGAAATCATCACGCAGATGAAGGACGCAGCGCAAAATTTGAAAATTTTTCTTTTGAATTTTAATCACTGCAATTCAGCAAATCAAAAAAGTATGTGCGATTAATTTTTTGTCGCTCCCCAGGCTCAAGCAATCTTTTTTCGACACTGATTACTGGCGTATTAACCTAGTAATCTTTATTGGATTTCCGAGGGAAGATCTTTGTCATCTGACGAGCAGTTCGGTCAATTTTTCGGTTCAATTTTGCGGTTCCCCACAGGGATAACCTCATAGAACGGTTTTACTGCTACGTGTCAGGTTTATGTGACATACCTAACTATTACCGCTCCCTAACGTCATACCCTCCCTGCCTATGGCACAATCTCCACACATGGCTGCTAACAATATCTTCCCACAATGGTGTAGTTACATGGATGTGTATGATCGTGGGTGGCGTCACTATATTGACGACATGATAATTCGACTAAATGTGATTGTGCGTGAACACGGCATCTGATGTGATCTTCTATATAGTTAGTGGTATGATGTCATGGTGATCATTTTGCAGTAAAGTCTGTAATGGTGCATTGATTGGCTGCACAGTACAACGATAAGTTAACAAGATGAGTATAGACAAAGCTTGCTCGCATTGCTGACATACTTGCTAAGAAGTCATTTGTTCTGAGTGCTTTAAGCAAGCATTGGACTGTAAACTCTGTTGAAGGCCAATATTTCACTAATTCAGGTGAATGCATCAACATAAACTATAAGTTGACAAGATTTATTTGTTGCAGTATGCTGACGGCTGGAAGACAAGTGTCTTAAAGAGGCTCTGATTATTAAGTCTGACTGAGAGATGCTGAATTGCTTAAAACTTTGCAATTATATAATGCAACTCTATAAAGCTGTAATTATAAATAACCAACGTTATCTATACATGATCAATGGTAATCAATTGCATGGTGCTTCAAATACCTAAAGCCAGTTTAAATTGAACAAACCTGAGGAGCAATGAGTCGTGGGGCGAGGCCAGGGAAGGGACTCACTGCATGTCTCAGTTCTAGGTACTGTTTGTACTGGTAGGGGTCTCCAAAGTATACCTGACCATTCATTGCTGGTCCCACTGGGCCTAGCGAACCCTGATGAGAACGCTATGTTAAGAGTTCAGTAATTTGGTTTAAAATTTATACTTTAATTATAATGAAGCAAATCATAAAACTAAAGCTCACGGCATTTTATTTATTAATTCTTTTAAATGAAATTTAATTACACTGATAAAAGATTTGTCTCCCACGCGATATTGAAAAACTTGATGCATGATATAATGTGAATTTGGTTCTCAAAAGTCTTTTAAAAACGATCAATATTTCGCCGAATCAAGACCCCTTGACCTGCCGTTACTATAATACGAGTATTGCTGAAAGCCCGTAACTAAAAACCCGCTCCTAATATTATAGTTCTTTATAAAATAATCTTTATACATCTATATTAATCGCACCTGGACAACCACCGGCAGACCAGGTGTGGAGCATATTAGAGTAAAAAATATCAGATCATGGCCAAGAAGGACCGAATCCTTCTGATCGGAGCCGACCTCGGCATGATTGGAACTAAAAAATCGTCAGCATGAAAAACGGCTCGATTATCAGAGACTTATGTTATGCATTTTTCATTTTTGTGAACAACTTTCAAATGAAAAATGAAACATATATTTTAACACTATGAAAATAATGGTATAGAAGAATTCTGCTGATTATTTACGATAGTGCAAAAAACTTGAGATTTAAAGTTCTCTGAGGGCAAAATGGTGTACGGGGAACCGGACACAAGAACGGAGGACACGAGGGCGGTTACTTTCCGGTGATATACATTTTAACATGGACAGTGAACGCGGGGGCGGAACCAAACACCGTTATACTTATAAATAAAGAACCAGCAACAAACTCGTAACTTGGTGTAGTTACATGGATGCATGTATGTCCTCACAATCACATACCGTTGTTTGAAAACCCGTGTAATCCTATGAGCCCCCTACTAAGAAGAAGAATCCTATGGGTCCCCCGCTCTTGTGTCCACCACCCTAAGGCACTATTGTGTCCTCTGCCCTCGTGTCCTATACCCGGTGTACGAGATCTAGCGAAATCCCCTAATTATTAGTCTATCGACAAACAATCTGTCCTTGAGCTATCGGCAACAAACAAAAAGAACTGAGTCGTAACGACATAAGTTTACCTTTAAGGGGGGGGGGGGGGGACAATGGATATTTTTTTGTGAAACTTGATTTCGAGATAGCAGTTGACCAACAAACTAGGACCAGTGACCGAACTTTTGAGGGGGTCCCAGACCCTAACCACCAAACGGTGCCCGCGGGGCAGCCACGCCCATATTTGGTCCAAATTAGGCCCAATTTAGCCAAATACCCTGAACATGCCCAAAACCCAGATTTTAGGTGCTCTACTTGTAGCTAGTGGTCTCTTGAACTCGTATATGAAATTTCATCAAGATTGGACAAAAAATGACTGAGTTATGGGCCAAAAACCATATGCCCATATTTGGGCATACGCACCAAATTTGGTAGATTTCGTCCCATAAATTGGACAAATATCAATATTTTTGAATGAAACTTACTTTATAAGAAAGGTAAGCCTAAACTACATATTCTCTGTAAGTTATAGCTTTATATCTGTTTAAATGTGGATACTAAGGCGAAAAAACCACAAAAAATGTACTAAATTGCCCGTATCTTGGTTCGCGATATTCGCGGAATTGATCTCATTAAAATTGTAACAACTCAATCAGTTTTCAAACTTTTTGCATGAAATTTTCGGAATCGACTCGAAATCGCATTTCCACCTTATTTTGAGAACAGATTTTTTATTTAGGCCTCCAAAAAAATTTGGCGGCCAAATTCCAAAATTTTCCCGGAAAAATTCAGAATTTGGCCGCCAAATTTTTTTGGAGGCCTAATTCACAAATCTGTTCTCAAAATAAGGTGGAAATGCGATTTCGAGTCGATTCCGAAAATTTCATGCAAAAATTTTGAAAACTGATTGAGTTGTTACAATTTTAATGAGATCAATTCCGCGAATATCGCGAACCAAGATACGGGCAATTTAGTACATTTTTTGTGGATTTTTCGCCTTAGTATCCACATTTAAACAGATATAAAGCTATAACTTACAGAGAATATGTAGTTTAGGCTTACCTTTCTTATAAAGTAAGTTTCATTCAAAAATATTGATATTTGTCCAATTTATGGGACGAAATCTACCAAATTTGGTGCGTATGCCCAAATATGGGCATATGGTTTTTGGCCCATAACTCAGTCATTTTTTGTCCAATCTTGATGAAATTTCATATACGAGTTCAAGAGACCACTAGCTACAAGTAGAGCACCTAAAATCTGGGTTTTGGGCATGTTCAGGGTATTTGGCTAAATTGGGCCTAATTTGGACCAAATATGGGCGTGGCTGCCCCGCGAGCACCGTTTGGCGGTTAGGGTCCGGGACCCCCTCAAAAGTTCGGTCACTGGTCCTAGTTTGTTGGTCAACTGCTATCTCGAAATCAAGTTTCACAAAAAAATATCCATTGTCCCCCCCCCCCCCCCCGCAGTAGAATATCAACAATAGAATACGAATTAAACATACTCTCATGTTGTTACGACTCAGTGAGTCGTTTTCTTTCTTTCTTAAAGCAATAATATATTATTGCTTTAAGATATATATATATAAGATATATATATATATAAGATATATATATATATAAAATATATATATATATTTTATATATATATATAAATAACTGTGTAGGGTTATATATATTGTATATTATTACACAATATATAAAAATATTACCATATAATAATAATAATGTATATACCTTACGAGACATATTTAAATGGTACGAAAGTCAGTGGTTTTTCGAAAATACACCATATTTTCGGACTAAAATTTAGGTCACCATCATTATTTTCCCCAAATTATTTTTCATGTATTTTCCTTAAATATGACTTTATCGATTCACTCTCAACTTATCAATATAGTAAGTTATAAATATGGTTCATCAAACAATTGATGAACACTAGTATATTCGATGATAAATTGCTTTAAAAATGATTTTGGGCACGTTCCATTAAAAATAAGCAAGCTCTGTCACTACTATGTTGGTCACGGCGGTGACATTTCGGGAGTAGTGAAAGATAACAAATGCTAAAATAAGGATTATATTATAAGGAGTTTTTAAAAAATCCCCAAATACCATGATTAATCATGGTATTTGATAAATACCACATTTCGTACCCCAAATTAAATTTAATTTGGGGTACGAAATGTGGCGGTTTTCGGAAAAATTTCCATATTTTCGTTCCCAAATCATTTAAGTCATGTCTCGTAAGGTATATATATATATATATATATATGTATATACATTATCATTGTGATATTATTGTTTATATACATATAATAGTCCTTAGTACATCAGTTACTATTGGTTCCATGTTGACTAAGTTAAGTTTTACCGCTAAGCATTTGAACAAAGCCTTCAAAGCCTTCAAGGCTCGTCAAATTGTCTCTTGTAATAAACTCAGTTAATGGTGGGAAATTTGAGCATTATTAAAGAGAAAAAAATCAGGCATCTATAACTATACATATAAACACCTCCGGGATAGAATAATCAGCCGGGATAGAATAATCAATTCTGATAATCCCGGCTCCCACTGTTAGTTTTTTCCCGCTTTATAAATAACCCCGGCACTTAATTTCTACAATCCCGTCCCGCTAATTTGGCTCAACTAGATTTCAGATTTGGTTTCTTTTAATATCAACCATGAGAATTTCATCCGCGCACTGTCACGTGTTTTGATGACGCATATATAACGTGACTAACTACTACGACGCGCATTGGTCAAAAATGTCACGTGACCTATGACTTAACGTAAGAACTATAACATATATATATACGTACAAATATACTTGATCTACGTATGAATTGAATTGCAGGCGGTGGCAAAGATCCAGCACACTGCTTGTATTACTTAGACTCTTCCATTACTTCCATTATTCTGGACCAGTTCCAGAATTTGTCTTGACGGTAATTACATTAGTCGGTAAATTTTGTCGTAGCGAGTGCACTGTTTGATATGAGCCATGTATTATAGTCGTATACTTTGATGAACTTCATGACACGATATCAACTCCACCTTTTTTCGCTTGCCAGGCTTAACTCGACGCCCCTTATTCATGCTATATTCATTAAACGTTCGGACTGAGGAACTATGTATAAATAGAACGCAAATTTCAACTGTCATAGTACCTAATTAGTTTTATTTATCTAGTAGTTATATAATATACGTCCCAATTCCATTTCATATTTCCTATACTGATCAGATATATCTAGAATGAAAGGTAAATATTAAAACTAATTAGCACTTAGCAAATATAATCCCTGTGCGTGACGGCGTTATGTGATTGTGTGTTCTAAAGCCAGGATATTTGTATAGTTTTTTTACTTGAAGTTGATTCGCGGTTGCATAAGAGCATAAGTCAGCGTCTAACCCGAGAGCTCCTTTACATTATGATACGTTAAAGGTTTCCGAACCCTTTTCTATCTCAATTGTAATACAATTGAGATACAATTTGTATCCCAAAGAACTGTTATTTGTCACTTGTAATATGTGAACAAGTATTAATCCACTTTTGGAAAGTAGTAATACAAAAGAGACAATTACCTGAAGTCTGTGGAAGGATTGCTGGTTGAACTGGGCCGGTTGCAACTTTCCATAATTACCTCTCATACAGACCTCCGCCTAACAAGGTTGCAAGGTTACAAGGTTACAAGGTTACAAGGTTACAAGGTTGTTAACATAACATCAGCCATTCCAGACTTGAAAACGGCCAACTTTGCATCCTGAGCGCAGTATATGATTGTAAGCGTAAAATAAGCACTATCAACACAAAATGTGCACAACATCAAAAATATGAACCTCTTAGTTAATTAAAGTTACATCCGCCATGAAGCATTGTCCAATGTCCATGTCTAAAATTATAAAGATCAGAAACTTTGTGCCGTCTGCCCGGCTGAAGCGGCTCGAGATTCCGAGAAAACTAACCCCACAGGCCACAATGCAGAAGCTTGTATAGAATAAATTCATATATGCAGATATATTTAGCTTGTCATCTAATGCGGCTGAGAAGAAAATGGCACGTGGCGAGTGTCTAGGACTGACTATAAGCGGAAAGCGGAGTCTGAATTACAGCTTCTGCTACTATGTGATTATGTGATTAATATTTTATCAACTATTTGGCAATGAATATGACTTAACACGTGTGAGGCTCTTATAATAACACAAGAGATTGTTTTCTTGTGTGTGCCTTGAAAGCAGGTGAATGCGAGAGAATCACATACAATGTTTTCAATCGTGTTAAACGTTACGTCACGTCAGCCGTCTAGGTAGAATCAAAGTGAAAGACTGCCTGGATTACACAGGATTACACAGGATTACACAGGATTACACAGGATTACATAGGATTACACAGGATTACACAGGATTACATAGGATTACACAGGATTACACAGGATTACACAGGATTACACAGGATTACACAGGATTACACAGGATTACACAGGATTACACAGGATTACAGTTTACACAGGGTTACACAGGACTAGACAGGATTACACAGGATCACACAGGATTACACAGGATTACACAGGATTACACAGGATTACACAGGATTACACAGGATTACACAGGATTACACAGGATTACACAGGATTACACAGGATTACCGAGGCTATCGTGGCGCCTCGACCCTCGTAGTCTGTTTTATAGTCATAGGTATTTGAGTAGGTACGGTATATTTGAGGGAGGAGGGGACCGAGGGACCGAGAGAGATGAAAAGGAGAGAGGAGGGAGTATTAAGTAGAAACTGACCGGTCTGGGGTATGGCTGCCGGACCGGAAATAGCTCTGCTATTATAATACCCTGAAATCCAAGTATATCATGCTGTTCAACTATACTCATGTAATCTTAATGGAATCCGATTGAAACAATTGATCGCTACGACGATACAAGTTTGTGCTAAGCCGATCTCAGGCACCATTGTAAGCACAATCGGACACTATATGGAGAGACACGAGAGGCCACTTTATGGCGCCCCCCGTAACTCGTACTCCGTTTTATAGAGTACGGCGTATTTTATATTGACCGCGTAACACCTGTATAATCACACACAACTAGGAACTGATCAGGAATATTAACTTACTCTTAGATCCTTTGCAATCCTGTGTTATAGAAAAGTAGCATTTAGCAAGTAACAATCCAGATCATATTTCCAATTCGACGTTTGTTATATTAGGATCAGATTTCAAATTCAGACAAAAGTCGTTTTTTCGGTCACAGCTGATTAGGACAACAATCGCTGTCGGACAAAATTGAACCTGCTTGATTCCCTCGAAAAAAGATACAACAAAAAGATAAATCTAACAATATGACCCTGGTTTTACCAGGGTAGCTACCCTGGCATTGTTTGCTGAAACATTACCAGGGTAGCTGTAATAACCCTTTTGATTACCAGTTATCTGTTCCTATGTGGGGAGGTCTTTGTCTGAACTTCAGGGAGAAGTGGTTTAACTTTATATTGCTTTATTGTGCTGCTCTGATGAAACGTGGCATCACAAACAGATATATTGAGCTTGTTATCTAATGCGGCTGAGAAGAAAATGGCACGTGGCGAGTGTCTATAGGACTGACTATAAGCGGAGTCTGAATTATAGCTTCTACAGAATATCGACAGAACTTCGACAGAATTGTAGCTATTGTTATGAGTAAGGTATGACCTAGAATTAAGGCAATGTCAGGATTCGCAATGTGAGAGGAATTAAAACATCAAAGACTTCTTTGAGGAGGTTTGATGGCCTGTGATGATATATTTTAATATTTTATGTTTTGCTTTGACCAAACTGGCCACAAACAATAGTTTATGGACTATGGTGCCTCTTCGGAAATTCGGCTCCTCTGGCCATACTTAAGGCCGGAGAGACTTCTTGACTGGCCAAAGTAGGGCCGCAAGAATCATTAAATTAGGGCCGAAAAGCTATTATAGTATTAAATGAATTTCCCAACAATCAAGTTTTCCAAACGTTGTGGCAATGTGTTCTGAGATCAGCACCTACTATTGACATCTCAATCGAAACCAGAATTTTAAAATACTTTTTCAATGGTGATCAAAAACTCCGGGTATCTGATTTGTTTATAACTATAATCCCGTCCACTCGAACATTCTGTCGACACGAAAACAAAAATTAGGGTACAAAAAAGCTGTACGGGGCAGCAATTTAGCAGGGGCGGCACATAGGTGGGAGGTGCGTCACGTATCGCCACTGCCCAAACTACAGACTATGACTGACGGTATAATGTTGAGAGAGTTTATCGGGGGACTTGTTTTTTCTGTTGCAAAATGTGGTTTTTGTTCCTCGACCTTTGGTATTGAGAGCATAAGTAGAAAATTGCAAAAGACTACAAAAAGAACAGATACGTTCAAAGTCACATCATATACTTTATTGGAAGTTATTTGACCGTTTATTCCGTGAACGGACATAATCCTGAACGGACATCAGAATGAACGCTCAAGGGGCCATCTACTTAGGACATCCGCACAAATGTGAATTGTGACCGGACATTAAAAGGAACACTAAGGGCCTCTAGCGTCTAATTAATGTCCGTTCAAATAAAATACAGAAAAGTACCATTACATTTACATCGTATATGATGTGACTTTGAATCCCCCTAAGTCCTGGGACACCTTAGACATATATATCAACAAATAACACGTACGACAACGAGTACACAACGTAAGAAGACAACCACGGAAACTGAAAATAGCAACAAATGATGGTAATCCATGAGCATATGCAACTACAAATGTAATATTATGAACAAGTAAATAGGCATTGACGCCCATGTCAGAGTTCAGGAGAATTGGAAGTCGTGTGAAACAACTCCCGGCTCACAATAGTTGTTAACGGCCCGGGGTATATAACTAGCAACTGCAACTGTATGATGGTTAGTGTCTTGAAATTGCCGTTCGCGTTATAGCTAGTGAAAAGGACAATGGGCTCCACATAAGATTCTTTCAGCACCCTGGGAGATTAATTGTCTGTTCCCAACAAGCACAGCGTTCCGACCGGTGCTATGAAACATGAATGGGGAATCAGAAAAAGGGCAAGACTATCGACGCTGATATAATCGAACTAGTTGTTTGAAAGATATACCTATATTATAGTGCTATAGTATCAGTATTAAGCAATACGCAGTAGCTAATAGCTTCTAAGCTATATTGACAACAAGGGGAGATTCCTGACTGCGAACAAAAGCCCCTCACTAAGTGCCACAATATGGGAGCAAGGGAAATGTAGTACAGGGGGGCAAGGAAAATGTAGTACAGGACACTATGTGTAGAGTGTACTGTGTAGTACATGGCACGCGTGTAGTCTGTGTGGTTTGGCACTACTTAGATTGATTGGTTTACAGCTGTCAATGTGGTGGTATTGTCCCTGAAACTGCGGGTTCTTTATTTAGCTTAAACCGTGAAAATGTGTATCTTGAACAAATGTGGTTACCGCATCAATGTTCGATTGGGCCAGGCCACAGGCCAAGGTTTGGAAAAGGTTGGAAATGATTTCAAGACTCCGAACCCAGTTCCAAATTATTTTACAATCTAATTACATACTGAAAAATGTCCAAGATGAAAGATATGTAAATGGTACCATTTGCACTACCTCTTGACTTAAAGGTTTGAGTTGGATGAGGTTAAACGACCGGCTTAACAAACGGCTACTCCTCGCAGACAAGAGTAGTACTACTGCAGAGTGGTAACACTTTTCGCAATTTACAAACAAAAACTCATGGGCATTGGGCAACGCAGGGCAGTGCAGCGCTCCAGGGATACCAATTACCAGTGCAGTAGCAATAAAGTAATACATTATGGAACAAATTAAAAACGATACACAACCTCATCAGAAACTCCACACGACTTATTTCTATATAATGACCAGTTCCAGCTCTTATGCAAATGAAGTGGATTAATATTAATTAGTATGAGGCCCATACCAGTTGCAGTGTAACGCAATACTCGTGAACTCAGTGTCACGTGACTGAGAACTATGAATAGCAGGCGGCTGACAACGCCGCCTCACAACACCTGTAGTTCCAAGCTCCGGTGCTGATGTTGGTAGCTGACATTGTCGGGTTAATAATAGTTTACTAATAGGTTACTAATAGATTACTAAAATGTTACTAATAGGTTACTAATAGGTTACTAGGGTTACCAACAGGTTACCAATTTAGATTACTAGGGTTACTAGTAGGTTACTAGTAGGTTACTAGGTTACTCAATACTCGGGTAAGTACAGGTTGTTTAGGTAACGAGTTTCTGGGCTACCACTTGGTTACTAGTTGACAAAGTCTCTATTAGTTACACGCATATAGGTAACCAAGTTACCAACCTTCATTTCGTTAAAAACTCAAACATCACTTTATCTTAGCGTCAACTTATTGCTTTACTCAAGATGAACGACCAAGTATGGCACCAATTCACGCTCCAGTCAAGTATTAGTTGCATGGTAACCATGCAGTAACTATGGTAACAATTGTTACTATGATAACCATGGTAACCATGCAACTCACAAATCAATTCACCCAGTTACCAAGTGACCTGCACGCAACCATATCAATCAGTTTCCTGTATAAACCATGTCGCAATATTGCTGTTAACTGTTAATTAGCTGCTAACTACAAAGCA